CTGCTCGATGTTTTGCTATGTTGGTTGTTTAAACCTGTTGATGGAGATGCCCTTCGTTTTGATCTTGGGGGCAAGGTAGTTACATTTTCTATATTTCAATTTGCCCTCATCATCAAATTGAGGTGTATGGACGAAGAAGCAAAATGGGCCCGTATTCCGAGAAACGAGTGGCTGTTGAATGAATATTGTCATGCGCAGACGACGTTGACTCTGGGGCAGTTGGTAGACACATTTCAGGGCATGCGACCATATGTCTGACAGGTTGAAGCTGAGATTGGTGCTTATCCTCGAGAGAGTACTCAGGTGTCATCACAGGAAGACGTCGATCGATGTTTTTCATTTGGAAGTTGTTGATGACATTGATACCTTCAACAGCTATCCTTGGGGACAAAGATGTTTTATGGATACCTTACGACACTTCAGGAGGGGGTATTTGATGCCTAAGGGGGATAGGCCCGAGCGCAAGTACGATGCATATGGTTTGCCGTTCGCTTTACAGGTAAATGTTCAACATATTGAATTATCTATTTTTTTAATTAAATTATATATATATATATAATAATTGTAACTATTACAGATATGGGTGTACGAGATAGTCCTCATATTGGCTGACCGGTATGCGAGGAGAGGGGAGACGTGCTGCCCTCGGATGCATCACTGGCGAGCACAAGACAAGCCACTTGCAAAACAATTATGAGCTCCTCTCGACGATCCTGAGGTACGTATTAGACATTTTGCAATTATCTATTGTATGTCCTTTTAAAATATCGATACATGGTCATTAACACGGTAAAATGTCAATATGTTAGCTTGAAGTCCTCACAAAGTTGACACCGTTGATAGAGGATAAGGGTCAGAGTTACATGCGTGGCCTGTTTATTCCGGTCGCGCCGGACGATCAGATGCTCTAGTCCATCGTTGATCGGGATATGGTATGTTGATTGAATATAATATGTTGATAATAATTTTTAATGTTAATTGTATAGGAGCGCGGTCCAGTGGATCGACGTTCACCTCCGTCCCCGATGGGATTGCCTCAATTGCTGATGAGATCTCTTTCTTCTCCATCTAGGCACCTTCC